TACACCGAGTGGCCAGATTATCATGATCTCTGAACGCATAATCTGGCCACTGAGTGTATATCCTATATAATAAAAGGCTAATATGCAAATTGTCCCCTCGACAAGGAGTTCGATCAATAGGCAGGCCAACTGCCCATGTCCATGTCCCCTCCTCCTGGCCAGGCTGGCCGGACCCCATCCATGCACAAATTAGTGCACTGGGCCTCTAACACACACACACACACACACACACACACACACACACACACACTGAGTGGCCAGATTATTATGCATTCAGAGATCATAGTAATCTGGCCACTCACTGTTGGCAGGGTATATAGGAGCTTCAGTTATAAGTACTGAATGCTTTCTTAAGCTGCCTTAAAATATATATATATATATATATATATATATATATATATATATATATATATATAACTTTTTTTCCACAGAGAAGGAGAGATAGAAACATTAATGAGAGAGAGTCATCAATCAGCTGCCTCTTGCACGCCTCCTACTGGGGATGTGCGTGCAACCAAGGTACATGCCCTTGACCGGAATAGAACCCAGGACCCTTCAATCCGCAGGCTGACGCTCTATCCATTGAGCCAAACCGGTTTTGGTGTAAGCTGCCTTTTAATATGTCTAAAGTACTTGCTTTTTTTTTTTTTTTTTTTTAGAGACCTGTGTTTCTATCATTAAGGAGTATTTAGGAAGTATTAATATTGTACATTTTTATATTACCTTCTAATTAATAACTGTCCAGAAAGCACTCCATATACAGTACTGGAAATACACTTGAACTGCTGGACAGTGTTCTGTATATTGAATTTTAATCAGGATTCTTAGGGAAAAAGAACTTTATAGCCGAAACCCGTTTGGCTCAGTGGTAGAGCGTCGGTCTGTGGACTGAAAGGTCCCAGGCTCGATTCCGATCAAGGGCATGTACCTGGGTTGTGGGCACATCCCCAGTAGGAAGTGTGCAACAGGCAGCTGGTTGATGTTTCTCTCTCATCGACGTTTCTAGCTCTCTATTATCTCTCCCTTCCTCTCTGTAAAAAGTCAATAAAATATATTTTTTTAAAAAAGTTTATAGTTTCCCAATCCCTCTCTCTCTCTGAAGTATTTTAAACCATAAAAAACAAACATTCCTAGGATATTCTGCTTTTGCCCCTCATTTAGTTTCTGAAGGCAGGACAAGGGGTTCCAACCAACTTGCAGGCCTTGAGGGATGAGAAAGAGAGGGTCCGCCCTGAGCCACGGTGCACTCTGACTGCCCCGGAGTGAGGGCCAGTGCCTCCGGCCGCTCTCCTGAAAGCAGGCTCGCTGCTCAGGGATGGTACTGTGCGGGGAGGAAGCCACCACACAGACCCTGTGCCGTCACACCTCAAAGCCCCTGCTTTGATTTCTGTGTCCAGTCTTCTGACCGGTCTTCAAGGCGCAACTGTCCTTTCCACGGGGCTGGCTCACTGTTCTCTATAGACCAGAGGGAGCAAGCGGTATATAGTCAGTGACGTAGTATTTATGTCCACTGAAAGCACGAGGCCCTCTCTTGCCAGTTCCTTTGTGTATCCCCCGTACAGGGCACATGCCTGTCCCTCACAGCAGCTGTTTGATAGCTGGAGACTGAAGTTAGGCCATGTGCTCCATATAACAAAACTAGACAGTGGCTGATACCAAATTTGAACATATTGGTCTGATCCTAAAGCCTGTGCTCTTCTAAATCACGTGTATAGCTGGAAGGGACCCCATTTGGTGATTTTAATCTATTCCTCTAACTTGTGGCTAAAGGCACCCCAATAATTCCAGATCCTTATGGAGTCGAAATTGAATCCTTTTGGGGCCACAAAACCTTTAGTTAAGAGACTTTGGTTCATGTCATCCAAGCCTCCACATTGCTTTGTTTTATAGGCAAGAACCCGGGCACAGAGGTTGAGAGAAACGTGGTTATCAGCCACGCCTTGACTAAGTCCACCCTTTCTTCTTTGTGGTATCGCCCCTTCTGCTTTAACAGCTGCCACCAAGTGAATGATCTAACTTGAGGCATTACTATCCCATCTGATTCTTTCCTCCTAGGATGTGCGAAAATGTCGACCACCTTCACGAACATTTCATGTGTCCTGTGACAATCAAGAATGCTTCCTATATGCCGCCTAAGGCGAGCTTGGGCAGGAAGGCCCCTGAGCCAGCCATGCTGGGTTGGTTCACCTGAGCTAGACCCTAGTGCACAAAGCTTTGGCTCCTTAGAGTTTATTTTCTTATCTAGAAACAAATGGCTTTTTAGTCAACACCAAATTCCCAAGGCCTGCAGGTCAGGGTTTGGGGGTGAAATTGCCCACCAAGGCCCCTCTAATGCCAGCTTGTCCTCACCAGCTGAGACCTTAAAATGTGCATTCCTTGCCGAAACCGGTTTGGCTCAGTGGATAGAGCATCTGCTTGTGGACTGAGAGGTCCCAGGTTTGGTTCCAGTCAAGGGCATGTACCTTGGTTGCGGGCACATCCCCAGTGGGGGTGTGCAGGTGGCAGCTGATCAATGTTTCTCTTTCATTGATGTTTCTAACTCTCTCTCCCTCTCTCTATAAATCAATAAAATATATTTTATTAAAAAAAATGTGCACTCTTGTGCACAACAAACTGGCACCAACTAGCAGGCTAGTCAACTGACAAGGTTTGACTGTGGCTGTGTTATCTGAGCCATATATCCTCAACAGGGTCGAGGTCAGGTCTTTTTCAGAAGCTGAGCTATCAGAGGAAACTTGATTTGTGCACTAATCATAGGAAGTAGCCAATCGTGTGTCCCTCTCCTCCATTTCAAACAACCAGAACGTTTATTTAAAAAATATTAATTCACTAAAACCGGTTTGGCTCAGTGGATAGAGCGTCGGCCTGCAGACTGAAGGGTCCCAGGTTTGATTCCGGTCAAGGGCATGTGCCGTGGTTGCGGGCACATCCCCGGTGGGGGATGTGTGGAGGCAGCTGATCTATGTTTCTAACTCTCTATCCCTCTCACTTCCTCTCTGTAAAAAATCAATAAGATATATTTAAAAAGTTAAAAAATAATAATAAAATGAAGAATACTAATTCAGTTGCCTTTAGCTTAGATTTAAAAGCATATCATGGAGCCGATACTGGTTTGGCTCAGTGGATAAAGCGTCGGTCTGTGAACTGAAAGGTCCCAGGTTCGATTCTTGGTTGCGGGCACATCCCCGGTGGGGGATGTGCAAGAGGCAGCTGATCGAAGATTCTCTCTCATCAATGTTTCTAACTCTCTATCCCTCTCCTCTCTGTAAAAAATCAATAAAATATATTTAAAAAAAAAAAAAAGCATATCATGGAGCAGCAGAAATACATAAAACAAATGTGTTTTTTTTTGTTCCAATAGTTACTAACACTGTTGTTTGTTTTTTGTCTCTTACAGGAAGCTGGCTATTCCACAGAAATGAAGGAGGAATCTGTAAAGAAACACCAATATCCAGAGGTGAAGTCTGGAAGAAGATCCTCACTGCTCAAGGGAATGAAGGGTTCGGCCCTCACACCCACTTCTTTTTTTAAGTGAAAAGGTTTAAAAGGTCTTGGGTCAGGTTTTTACAAAACTAGGGAAAGAAAATCATCCTACCAATGAAAACAAATTCAGCTGAAAGTCATATTATCCTCAAGAATCAGCACAGTAATTATTATTAATTCTTTTAGCAAATAAACATACTCTCCCTACTTAATCCTTAAACAAATTTAAGTGTAACTAGCTCAAAGTATAAGATGTTCTTATAAGATTTCTATCAAGTGCTGGTACAACAGGTTATGCAACATGCTGCTATATTTTGGAAATAAGCAGCATGTTGCATAACTTGTTGGAGCAATTCCTTATTCTATTTAACATTTCATAAATTAGCAGAATAAAAATAGATCTGCAGCACCATGGGGTATCTGGTATGCAACAAAGATAAAAAGATCCCACTCATTAGCCCAAAGTGTTTTAGCATCTCTTTTCCAGCTCATTCTAAGCACATTACAGAATTCACACCACTCTGGGTGAAAGGCTATTTCATAGTCTTTTCTTAACTAACCCATTTTCCACTCTCTCTAAAAGTCAATTGAAAAAAAGATCATGGGGCGGGGGTGGAAAGAGGGGGGGATAACCATTTTCTAAAAAACCTTTATGCTAAAAAATTTTTTTAAAAATGTTATTGATTTTTGCGCGAACGAGAGAGAGAGAGAGAGAGAGAGAGAGAGAGAGAGAGAGAGAGAGAAACATTGAGAGAGAAACATTGATCAGTTGCCTCCTGCACCGACTTCAACTGGGGATTGTACCCACAACCTGGCTATATGCCTTGACCAGAAACTGGCAACCTTTGGTGCACAGGATGATGGTCAACCAAGCCACTCCAGGCTGGGCTATCCTAAATAATTTGAATGATAAAATGCAGCTAGAATTAGATAAATCATAGAAAAATTTAGTCAGCATTTATAAAATATATGCTAATCTCAGCAGCATCCAAACAAGAATATAGCATGTTTATTTAGACAGGAACCGTGCAGAATGGTAGTAGAGAAAGAAAAAAAAGCCCAGATAAATGCAGAAGTCTTTATTATAACAATATAAAAACCAATAACTTTAAATGTTCATAACCACACCAACCATACATTATCATGACTGGTGTTATTCAGGTTGGTCAAATATGAGGGAATAACTTATAATTTTTGAAATTGTTAACCTTTATACAAATGTGGGATTAAAATCCATGGACCTGATTTTTTAAGTATATACATTTCTACTCTCTTCACTTCATTCATAATCTCAGTATTGTCATACATCCTCATTCAGTGAAGGCCTTCTATTACTGTCAGCACAGTTTTATCAGCCAGTGGTGACAGCCTTACGTTAATGAGTAATAACTGACAGTTACCAACTGATTTCTGACCTCGTTCCTTCTTCCTTTAGAACAAAAAGAATTTTCACCTAAGCATCTATCCATTCCAACCCCTAAAGACAGTATCCTTCAGACAACTCCTTCAAAAGCACTTTACACGGCCATTTCCATTTTAATAGTCGGATGAGGATTGTAGCCTTCAATCTGAAAGTCTTCCGTCCTGAAGTCATCGATTGTCTCCACTTTCCGAAGGATCTTCAGCTTCGGGAAAGGCCTGGGTTCTCGCTGAAGCTACAAACAGCAGACCGTTACTTTGCTGTATCAGTACTCCTGCTTTAATGCTGCCCCCCACACCCCTTCAGGATTGCTTTACAGGGGCTAAGCAATACTGTGGATACCTTTTCCCTGGTTACGCAACACTGCTGGAGCATAACTAAGGGTTTCTTTCACATAAATGGAGAGCGGAGGGTTTTTTTTGTTTTGTTTTTAATATATTTTATTGATTTTTTTTTTTTTTTTTTTTACAGAGAGTTAGAAACATCAATGAGAGAGAATCATTGATCAGTTGCCTCCTGCACACCCTCCACTGGAGATGTGCCTGAAACCAAGGTACATGCCCTTGACCGGAATCGAACCTGGGACCTTTGTCTGCAGGCCGACACTCTATCCACTGAGCCAAACCGGTTTGGGCTGAAGGGTATTTTGTGGAATCATTCGGTGTCAGGAGCCTGGTGGCTCCCCAAGTGTTAAGTTCTTGTGATTGATTGCTCCTGGTAAATTATCAAGGACGACACATTTTCTTACTTTTGTGTCTGTAACTCATAGAAGGCACTCAAAAATGGTTACCAGAGTCCCTATTCCAACTACCCCTGGCAGAAAGGGTAAGGAAAGATGACATCTGTTGACAATTATCAGAAAGGGATGCCAGCCGGATATGAGATGAACCACGTCGATGAGGATGTGACAAAGGTCAGACCTCACACTATCCTGGCCGGCACGACGGGAGCAGTGAGCTAGAGAAGCATCTGGAGAAGCCTTGAAGTTACCCCCTGCGTCAAAGCAGACAAACTTCCTCAAAGGAGACACTTTCAAAGCCTTGATCTAATCCGCAAGGGCCTAAGGGGTTTTGGTTTGACATTTTCATTCTTGGGGCTCGTAATATGCACAGACACTCAAATTTTTTTTATTGCCATTTTCAAATCATTTTTTGGCTGCTATAATTTATAGCTTTGAGCCTTTTTCTGAAAGTTCAGATCTAAGTATTGTATTTAGGATAAACTTAAGGGAAAATATTGAAATGCTACCTCTGAGAAGGTCCTACATTCTCTGGTTTGAATGTGGCTCAGTCCCCCTCAGCACCTGTCACACCTGTGGTCGCTGAGGCTTGTGTCTTGCCTCCACCCACTTTCCCACCATCAACGCTCTGCCGTCAGAACAGGTCACCTTATCCCTGTCACAGCACCGAGAAGAATGCCTGTTATAATAGGGATGTCCTATAAACCAACCTTTTATCAAGAGAAGGGACCAACCTGCAAAGTGCAACAGATAGCCCTGGCTGGTGTGGCTCAGTGGATAGAGTCAGCCTGCAGACTGAAGGGTCCCGGGTTTGATTCCAGTCAATGGCACATGCCCAGGTTGCGGGCTTGATCCTCAGTAGGGGGCATGCAGGAGGCAGGCAATTAATGATTCTCTCTTATCATTGGTGTTTCTATCTCTCCCTTCCTCGCTGAAATTAATAAAAATATATTTAAAACAAAGTGCCACAGATAGAATTCTTACCTGCATTTTCAGTGGCTCAATATGATTCAGGTAGACGTGTGCATCTCCCAAAGTGTGTACAAAGTCACCTGGCTGAATTGCACGGGAGGAAGCAAAACAGGAAGTTTTAGTTTTAATCCCTCTTCAACACCTCATTTAAAAACACTTTATGCAGAGTATGCAGGTATCTCAAAGCTTTTCAGAAAATAATTTAACCAGTGTTGCTTTTAAGAAAAGTTAATTTATAAAAGTTACGTTGTACTATAAACAACCTATATAAACTTGTTCATACAGACCACAAGGATGGGAGAGTTACACAATGGGCCAGTCCATTTTCTTTTTTTTCTTTCTACCTACTTTTCACTTTGTTTTTTTTCCTCATTTTTTTGTTGTTGCTTTTAAAAAATGTTTTCTTTTTCTAGTTGATTTTCTATTTATATATGTTCTAAGCTCACAGTTGAGCCAGTTCAGTTCTTATTTAAATGAGAATTCTGGGCGATTCGTTTTTTCATTAAAGAATCTAAGAGTCAGCTCTGTAGGCCAGCAACCATTGTTCCTTCCCGAGAGCAGCCCACCTTCAGGCCTGTGATGTGTGCGATCATGTAGGTGAGCAGGGCGTAGCTGGCGATGTTGAAGGGCACACCCAGCCCCATGTCCGCTGAGCGCTGGTACAGCTGGCAGGACAGCTCCCCGTTCACCACGTAGAACTGGCAGAGGGCATGGCATGGAGGCAGGGCCATGGAAGGAAGATCTGAAGAGCCAGCACAGAGGAATATAAAGCGGGGGAAGGGAGGAGAGCAGTTAACACAACTACGGGCAAAGTGAAACAGGAGCAAAACACAAGCCAACTCATAAGATGGAGGTCATGGGACCCCCATGACCCACACTGTCCCCTCATGGCAAAGCAGACCATTCCAATCCCATTAACAGGAGCCTTCTGATGGACATTTACAATGGGAGAAGCATGCTCTCCCATGCGAGCTGGGATGATTTGTGCTACCTTCACAGAAAGAATGAGTTCATTTGTAGAGGCCACAGGAAACTAGCGTCTCAGACGCACGCCCCTGTGCTCCAAGCCTCTCTTATAAATGTACATATTTCACTCTAGGTCTTAATTACCCATTGGTAATGTTTAATTTTATAATACTGTTGATACAAATATTAATAATATCAGGATAGAAGGGATCTGAAACTTCTTCTGCCCCAATTTAAAAGGGTAAAATCTTACATGTATTTTTATAGGCCATTTAAAACCCTTTTGGGAGGAACAGTTAAGTATACATATACAAATTAAGGTGATCTGGACCCAATGCCATCCTCTGAAGGTGGAGATGAGGCCGACTGTGACTTGCCCAAGGTCACCCAGGTGACCCTGGAGCCGGAGTTCCTGGGCGTCTGCCTTCTGCCGGAGGCCCCACAACAAGGCCACGTTGCTCCCCCCATGCCAACCACACCGTCAGGAAAGGAGGGGAGGGCCGAGGTGCTTCCAACCTTTTGGGTTCCAAGCACAGAGGATGATTCTTCTGTCGTCAGGGTTGGTTTTGATGGTGTCAATCACCTTTTGCAGTTGGTCTACGCCTTGACCGGAATAATCTGTGGAATTATCGAAAAGAGAAGATGTGCACACGTCCATTACGTCATCTGGTGAGATGGCCTCACAGGTCTCTGTCAGACTGTCCTTCCACAGCCCCGCCTTGGCTCACGGTTGCAAGAAATCCAAACACACTTTGTAAGTGTCTCGGGTTATGCTGAGTTCAAGGCCTGGTCTAGGCTCCGAGGCCGATCCTCTGGAGCCATAACAAAGTCTATTTTCTTTTCTATGTAAAAATCCTTCAAGTATTTGGTTGGTCCTGTAACTTCCTCTCCCTCCCCGATTCCAACACCCCACCCCCCCTCTCCTTAGCCCCTGGCAACACCATTCTATCTCTATGTCTACACAGCACTTTGTCAAGCAGCCAGCATTCAAAAGATCTCAATCTATAAAATACAGATTTTAGGGTGTTTTTTTTTTTTTTAAGAATTCTGACAATATCAGGCCCACATATCTCTAACTGGCAGGAGAAGAGCAGTAACTGCCCCCTTTAGATGAGACTCATGCTCTCCAGATTGCGGGTTTCTGTCCAGCTAGCGAACTGTTACTCCCTGCACACGCCCCTGTACACACCACACCCACACCCACACGCACACCACACACACACACACACACACACACACACACACACACACACACGAGGGACACATCTGCTTTTGTGACCTTTGACCTAGAGGTAAGTGGGACAGAGGAGCAAAGGGCCAGGCCGGACGCAGAACGCGCGGCCACCACGTGCCAGAGGACGGTGGGCGGCGGGGGTGCGGTGCTTCCTCTTCCTCCTCCCCAGGACGGGGAGGAGAGGTGCCTCGGGACACGAGCTCTCCCATCAGGGCCACTTACCATGTGATGAAGAGAAAGGTCATCTCTGGGAGGCCAGCCCCCGATGAACTTCCCACCTTACTCCCCGACGCAGTGACCACTGCCCCCTGTCCGCTACGGAAACAGGTACAGGAAGGGCCGAGCACCCCGTCGTGCTCATCACCGAGAGTGAGATCTGACCTTCACGAGGTGCGGTCGTGCTCCTGAACCTGAAACAGCTCCCCAGACCCTGGCTTCTCCTCCCCCACACTTCCCCTGAACCCATGGAGCTGCGCCGGCTAGCGCCGTCTCCTCACCTGACTCCATATCTTTGTATTCGGCCCCAAAATGCCTCCACTGAAAGCCATAGACGGGGCCTAAGTCTCCTTCTTTTCTGCTGGAGAACCCCAGGCTGTCCAGGAAGTCACGGGACCCGTTGGCATCCCAGATTTTCACTCCCTTGGACGACAGCTCTTTAGCGTTCGTGGACCCCTGGAAGAGATGGGAGAGCAGAGCGGGCGAGTTCCCCCACCCTGGAACCTTCGCAGCCATCGGGACTCGCCTCTAAGAGCCCCCACCAAGCCGGCCACAGGCCCCCAACCGGCCCTCACAGCCTGTCCCATCGCTAAGCAGGCTGGTCCCAGCCCAAACTCGGGAGGGCCTGCAGGTCAGTCAGATCTTTCTCTGGGGTCACCCTCTCAAACCTTTTTCCCCGTTTCCCCTCAGTTACATTTTCTAGACAGAATATATCCAAGTCCTTTAGTTACATTCCTGCCCCATCTGGCAGTTTTGTGTCTCTTTAGCACATGTGTTCTGTGTCAAAGTGTGATACCACCCAGAATGAATGCAATGCCTCACCTGCAACCTGCGGGGAGCACCTTAGAGCTGGTAGACAGAGTATTTCTGACTGGCCTAACCAGCACAAGCTTTTCTAGCAAATGGCTCTGTCACCTGTCTGAAGTGTGCCACTCTCGTTATGTTTACCCCAACTTATACTCACACAGTTAAGGTGTGATTGGTTTGATTTTGCCAAATACAAGCCTTATGTTTGTTTTTAAAACCATGTATGTTAGCCCTAACCGGTTTGGCTCAGTGGATAGAGCATCGGCCTGCGGACTGAAAGGTCCCGGGTTCGATACCAGTCAAGGGCATATTCTTTGATTGTAGGCACATCTCTGGTAGGGGGTGTGTAGGAGGCGGCTGATTGATGTTTCTCTCTCATCGATGTTTCTAACTCCCTATCCTTCTCCCTTCCTCTCTGTAAAAAAATCAATAAAAATAGGTTGTTTTGTTTTATTTATTTAATTTTTTTTTTTATTGCTTTTTTACAGAGAGGAAGGGAGAGGGATAGAGTTAGAGACATCGATCAGCTGCCTCCTGCACACTCCCTCCTGGGGATGTGCCTGCAACCGAGGTACATGCGCTTGACCAGAATCGAACCTGGAACCCTTCAGTCCACAGGTCACACTCTATCCACTGAGCCAAACCGGTTAGGGCAAGCCTTATGTTTACTTCTCTGCTATTCTGTCTTATGAGCTTTGGCCCTTGTCATCCTGTATCCTGATTGTGCGTCCAGGTCAAGGACAGCCCTGCACTGGCCTGTGGTGTCTTCGGGGCGGATGTGCCAGAATGGTTACAAGCAAGGCTACGGTGCCACTCAACCTTGTCCCTGTGCCTGCCCTCCAGCTCCCCTTCCTTACCTTGATAAACCACAGCAACTCCTCCAGAACACCCTTCCAGAACACACGCTTGGTTGTCAGCAGAGGAAACTCATCTGAAAAACAGTTTGCCTTGTAATTTCAAGACGGGAACATAGCGCATGCCACCCAACTTTCTCTTTGGAAGGAAACGAACCCAAGACATTAGGCCCTGGAGTGACCTGGAGTGACTCCTGGCCAAGAGGGAACCTGGGACCAGGGTGGGGGTCCCAGGGTGCAGTGCAAGGCACACAGTTCGGGCGGAGACCACCCTCCTGAGCCCTGCATCCGCCAGGCACAGCCGTCCCACACAGTGAGCTGGGCAGGGACAGCCAGGGCAGGGCCAGACCGGGATGCCTGTGGAGACAGGGAAAGAGCAGCCACCCGTCACCCTGAGTGAGACTCGTGTGCAGAGGTGTGAAGGCAACAGGACACAGCTGAAGGCTCCCAGGACTATCCCATGATTAACCTGCTGAGGAGAGCTTGTGCAGAGAAAGTAGGTATCACTCTGGCCAAGACCGAAGAGTAGATTTTAGAGATTCGCAAAGCAAAAAATTTTAAGTGTATCAAAAAACAGTAATGCTTAAATACTTTATATACATGATTTTATTTCATCTCCAACCCTCCTTAAGGCACCTTTTATGATCTCCATTTTACCGTCACCAGGAGGGAATAGAGAAGTTTGCAACAAGAAATAGAAAAAATACAAATGTAAAGCTTATCTCTATTCAGTTGTGTAGTTGATAGGCATGTAACAAGGATGCATTTTTCCAAGCACCTACTGTTATCATTATTGCCTGAACATTATTTCCTCCATTTCAAGGGCTTGGGGAGGCCGAAGACCTGAGAGGTGTGGGGAATTGCCCAAAGTGTAGGAGGAGCTGGAGCAGAAAGAGGTCTGTGGCTCCTGGAGCTGCAGGGAGGTGGTCCCTCCGCCCAGCAGACCCCTCTCAGAGCTCTCCAAGGCAGATCAGCTGTTTCCCACTCACACGGCGGGCGTTTTCCAGTTTGCAGGGTGGGTGTGGGGTGCAGGGTTTCACCCGTGACCACAGCCAATCTGCTTTCCCAACAGAGGGGGGGTCTCCCCTTAAAACTGCCCTCCACACACCGGTGTCGGGGAGACACGCCCCGTGCACACCCCCACCTCCACCCTGTGTCTCCCGAAAGCCAACGAGAGACACTTTCTCCCAGGAACCATCCAGTTTGAAAGTAAAAGACAAGCCGAAACCGTTGGCTCAGAGACTAGAGCATCAGCCTGCAGACTGAAAGGTCCCAGGTTCGATTCCAGTCAAGGGCATGTACCTTGGTTGCGGACACATCCCCAGAAGGGGGTGTGCAAGAGGCAGCTGATCGATGATTCTCTCACATCGATGTTTCTAGCTCTCTATCCCTCTCTCTTCCTCTCTGTAAAAAATCAATTATATATATATATATATATATATATATATATATATATATATATATATTTGTGTTTTTTTAAAAGAAGAAAGTAAAAGACGAATAGGAACTTGTACTCGGACCATCGAGTCGGTCTCCAGGTTTGAGAGGAAAGAATGCTGGCTCGTAGGACCGGGATGGGGAAACTGTCAGGAGCCACGCGTCCCCGCCCGGGCCGCCCCGTCCACCCTCTTCCCGCTGCGGAGGCTCCGCCCATGAAAAATTGGCTCCAATTTTGAAAACCTTTGCGGAGCGGAACAAACGGTCCGCCCCGGGAGGGGAAGCCTGGCCGCGCCGAGGGCCGCGCCGGGCAGCCCCGCTCCCGCTCCGCTGCGGGGCGCGCTCCGGGGAGGCCACGTGGCGAGGCGCTCAGACCGGCCCGGGAGCCGGGGGCCTCCGCGGCGCTCCTTTCAGCGCCGTTCCCACCCCTTACCCCCCCACCCCACCCCCTTCCCTGCGACCCCACGCACATCGGCCCTCGAACCCCAGCCCCCGCTGGGCGTCAGGCCGGAGGGACAAGGCCCCTCTGCGTCCCCCGGGGCGGCGGTCGGTGCCCCGCGCGCCCTCCCCGCCGCCGCCCGCGCGGTCACCTCTCAGGCTGTAGCGCGCCTGCAGGCCGAACACCGACAGCGTGCCCGTGCCCGTGCGGTCGTCCTTGCGGGAGCCGCAGCGGAGGATGTGCTCGATCTGCCCCAGGTACTGCCGCTCCCCGTGCGGCCGCGGCTCGGCGCCCGGCTCCTGCGCGGCGGGCGGCGGGGCCTGGGGCGGCTCGGAGCCGGCGGCGGGCATGGTGCGGGCGCGGCGGTGCGTTCGGGGGAAGCAGCTGCAAGGCGGCCAGACCTCCTGCAAACGCCTCCCTTCCCGCCGCCCGGGCGCCGCGACTCCGCCTTTCCGCTGACGTCGTGGGGCGTCGAGGTCTCCCGCCTCCTGCGCCCCCGCGGGCCGGGCCGGGATGCACCGGCCTCCGGTACGGGGTGCGTTTAGCCCCTTTTAGAAGGTGAGAACCTTAGGCCTAGAAAACATCCCAGAGCTTGCATCATGGGTGCATTGGCGGAAAAAGCCTCTTTCGGGGTCGACCTGGTCATGCACTGATCAAAGGGAGCTTGCAACAGTCTCCACCTATTGGTGAAATCGACCAACTCATAAAACCCTGCTATTTGGGCTCCGTTTTCTTACTACTTGAGGGGGATGCTCACAAGTGATTCCCATTCCCATTTTCTCCACATCCTCCCTGAAGGCAGGCAGCCGGGGCAAGTGGCATTTGGGCAGCTTTTCAACATGATTGGTGACAACCAGGCGTTTTCAAGTTTTTAATACCAAACACGTCGATGTTAGCGAAATGTTTATAATACAAACCCTGGTGGGTGGGGACTGTTTGATAATGAGTTTAAAGTGCACCTACCATGGTAGGTGCTCAGTAGTTTGTTGGTAGGTCTGGGGTCATGAAGAATAAGATGTCGTCTCCGCCTGAAAAATGTTAGACACTATGTCTTGCTGTTCAATAAAGTCAATGGTTTTGTGGTTTCACGTGTAATCTCGTTTATTGTCTACGCAGGTGTTCTTGGACCTCGAATACCAGGCTCTTGAGTCTCACTGTCATAGAAGTGAGTGCTGAGCTCAGTACAAGATGACACAGAGAGCGTTTCTTGAAAGGAGCGCGTGCACAGGGAGTGGACCAGAAAAGAGAAGGCCGCTCTCTGAGATCCTTGTGCGCGGCTGATGGAGGCCCTGGGAGTGAGGGGTGGCCAGTGGACCACCCAGAGGCCTGTAAACAATGCCTGCATACACACTCCGGTCATCATTTAATGGACAAAACAACTATTTTGCAGCACATGCAGTTAAGAAAGTATGTCATATTCTTTCCTTTATTAACGATGTGGTTAGGTTAATTTTAATTACAGACTTTTATTGAAAGCAGGAAGTCATAGGCCTCTAACGGAGTTCAGAGAGTGTTACCCTGTAGAGGGCCACCTGGGAAGGCACATGGGCATTTTCCTTAATTATCGTCAGCTGAACTCAGGGTGTAGGCAGAGCCGCGCCTTGGGAACATGTTTCCCCAAGATGGCGGACATGTGGTCAGCTTGGCCTTCATATCAGCCCAGGTGTCCGTAGGGGAGGAACTAGATATGTAAATCCAGTCATGCCAGGGCCCACTTAAGAATGCAAATAAGTTGCCGAGACCAGTTTGGCTCAGTGGATAGAGCGTTGGCCTGCAGACTGAAAGGTCCCGGGTTCGATTCCGGTCAAGGGTATGTACCTTGGTGGCGGGCACATCCCCAGTAGGGGGTGTGCAAGAGGCAGCTGATCGATGATTCTCTCTCATCGATGTTTCTAACTCTCTATCCCTCTCTCTTCCTCTCAGTAAAAATAAATAAATAAATAAATAAAAACAAATAAGTTGGTGTTACTTCCTGCTATTGGGGGTATAAAATAAATGCCTTCGTCCTCTTCTTCCTACCTCTCCAGCAGACAGAATAGAGGCCCACCCATTTAAAAAAATTTATCTCTGTGTCTTCTCTCTATATTTCTATTATTCCTCAATATTCCTCAATTCCTGGCCGCCTCCACTTAGAACTGGTTCATTCATCTCTCTTTCTGTGTGAGACGCGGAAAAGGGAGATCCTCGCCGCATCAGGCCCCTGTGTTACCCCGATGCTGTCTTATATGTTTCTGGGTTCTTTCTGTAACGTGCACCTCTGAAACTAAGGGTTAACATTTCTTGTAGGAGGAAAACATTCTGGGAGGAGGAAATAAATGTCTCTCACCCGCAGCTCTGATGAATCTGTTCAGCAAAAGCAGTGCTGCATGCCTTTGCACAAAGCCTCTACAACGGAAACCAAATCCCAAAGACAATTTACAAAATACCTGTCATTTAGGTTCATTGGAGGGAGAAAGACAAACAAACAAACAAGCAAAAATCCTTAAGTACAGACTAAGGAAGTGTTTTTAGGGAACATTTCACAGACCTTGTCGTTGGAAAGCCCACTTTTTGCTGTTGGATTGTATGGGGGCTCGCAAAGACCATGGTACACTGAAATGCAGATATTTCCCGTCTATTAACCCATCACAATAGGAGGTTGCCCTTTCCTAGGTCACTGTGGATTCATCGTACCCCTCCCTCCCCTGGCACATTCCTCACCCCACCCACATAATCCTTTTATCTCCTTTGGGAATGCTGGCCTTCCTGTGTTGTGCTGTGCTGTCTGGATAAGGTTGGTGGCAGTGGGCTGCCTCCAGATGGGTAGACATTCTTTTGGGAAGAGACATGTTCAGTCAGAAATCCTGATTGGTGGTTGCCAAGGACTGGGAGGAGGGAGAAGTGGGGAGTTCCAGTTTGGAAGGTGAAAAAGTGGAGATGGATGGTGGTAATGGCTGTACATCCCTGTGAATATACTTAATGTCACTGAACTGTACACTTCAAAATGGTTAAAATATAGTTCAATTTTGTTATGTATGTTTTAGCATACACACAAAAAGCCTCTGTGGAAGCTATGGGTCTTTTCTAAACAAAGGCGTGAATTATAGATTTTTTTTTTCCAAAAAGTTAATTATTATACATTAAAAGCAAATTTAAAAAAGAGACTTGTTAACTAGAACATGAGATATGAATAGTAGTACAAATGATGGAACACAGATATCATGATGATTTCATGTTTAATATATATATTTAAATAACAATTAATGTACCACAGAATATGTACATCAATATTTTGAAAAGGAATTTTTATTGTAACTCAATCTGAGTAACTATTAAACTGCCACCCACGTGAGACAATTAACAGTACTTCATAATGTATAACTGACATGCATTCCTGCAGCTGCATTTGTTGTACTAGCTCAGTGGTCGGCAAATTCCTTAGTCAACAGAATGGCAAACTGCTGCTAGCGAGCTACATGGGCTCGAGAGCCGCAGTTTGCTCACCAATGTACTATCCTATGTATTTCAGGATTTTCAGGTCTCAGCTGAAGAGGTGATTCTACCTGCTGGGTAGAGATGCATCAGATCTTACCTTTTTTTTTTTTTAAGCAATAATCAAAACATTAATAAATGACATATAGACTGAGTGTATTTTTTTTTCTTATAATAAAAGTCCAGAATGAGTAATAGAATAAACTATGTTGGCTTTTGAAAAAATTAACACATAGCAAAAATAACAGAAAACCCAAATGTATGGATATTTTTAATAACACGATGTATCACAGTTCCCCAGGTTTGATGAGCTTCTAGAATAGACTCTGCCTCTGATGTGAAGCTCTTTGCTCTGTACTCTACATACACACGGTATTTGCTCATTACACTTCTGTTGCTAGTGACTATCGACCCCAAGAAGGAATATCTCTGCCGAGAAGGACTCCCTGTGGGTAATTGGGCCCAAATTTCTAACTCGAGTCTAGAGACCTCGCAGACATACTGCATATCCAGGAGAAGCCACAGGCTCCGCGGCCACGCTTCCTGCACTGGTTTCTGCACACCTGAGCCAACCTTCATAAAGGAGTTCCTGGAATCCTGTTTCAGCCAGTGGGCTGATAGCTGCTGTGTCCAGTTGGAGCTGAGCAGCTACATCTTCTTTTGCGTCTTTTTTGACCAATTAGAGCAGCTCCATAGCAACAGAGACATGCATAATCATGCAGCTTTTTAAAAATGCAGAAACAGTTTATATTCCCACCAGTAACATATAGGAATTCCCATTTTATCATATTTCTATTGGAACTTCGTATATTTTTTTTCCTAATTTGCAAATTTGATAGGCAAAAAAAAAAAAAATGCTATTTTGTCTTTGTCATTAATGTGGTTGAACATATTTTCCAGTTACTTTAAAGCTAGTTTGTTTGTTTTTTTCCTTTTATGAATCATCTATGTCTGTTAACAAAGCATTCCTAATCAGGCACTCTGCTTACCAAGTTCTAAAATGTTCCTTAAGATGCTGAACAGCTTTCTCCAGCATGTCGCTAACAAAGTTAGAACCCTCAGAAGTTTCGTCAAGAGGGATCTTGAGTGTGAAATTGGGGGAAGGCAGAATGCTCACGTCTGTCATCGTTTCCTCTTGTTTGGGAAGGTTTCCTTGGCGAACACCTGGAACTCCCTGAGAAGGATTAAACAGTAAAAGATTACTAAATCCCGGGGCACATTCGGGATTAGTTTAATACCACATTCGTCAGGATAGGCTAGGTTGTACTGAGGTAACAAATTTGCCCAATATTCCAGCAATTTCATACAACAAAAATTATTTCCCACTCTATACATCTAGACACTCAGGACCCGCATTGACAGAGGTATTTCACCTCATAGCTGGAGCATACGGAACACGTGGCTTTCTTTGTGGCCTCGGTAGAGAAAGAGACTCTTCACTATAGCTCAGACTAGAAATAACACTTGCCATTTTGTTCACATTTCCTTGCCACGTGGCACCACATAACTACAAGAGAAGCTGTAGTTATGGCAAGGAAAACGCGAGTGAGCAAATGGAACATTTGTTGAGTGCTGCTGTCTGTGCCACAAACTCTAACATGATGCACCAAGTTTTATACATGTGTGTGTGATTTTTATAAGGACCAGTAATCTGAAATGCACGATAGTTGCTGTCTTAATGAATTCTTAAGTGCATATACTTAGATTTTAACACTTTAAATTTTTCTGATATGCAACATGATGTAACCGTAAGAGGACTATTTGAACTCCCCCCCCCCCAAATAAAATCCCTTATAAATAAACTAAAGCAAAATATTAAGCAACCTGGGCATGTGCCTTGACTGAGATTCAAACCAGTGACCTTTTGGTTCATGGGTCGATGCTCAACCACTGAGCCACATCAGCTGGGTGAGGTGAAACTTTTAAGGGGATGAGGCAAGCGGGATTGAGAAGAGGGAGAAGCCAGTCAAGGACCTCTAGCCACAGCCTGGTCCTGCAGGGAGTGCTGGAGCATAAGTGGCCCCAAGGACAGTGCTTTGGAGAAGGTGCAGGCTGAGCAGTTAGCAGCAGCACCTGCCGGAGCTTGTAGCTGGATCCCCAGCGATCCGGACAGGTCACCAGCATGACATGCTGCCCATTACATGCATCTTCAATGCTCTGCTCAGTGACTTTTGTATCCAGGTCTTTTTAGGAACCGTCAATACTGACCTCACCAGGAAATGCTAGCCTGGCTCATTTGTTTATTAACATAATGTGTGTGTCAGGGCAAGGGTACTGAGAAAAGAAATTTAGTCACTGTTATATATCATATCAAAAGAGTTATTGATTGAATGTGAGAGGCATGGTATAAATCCATGACGATATGTTTCTATGTAAAGTTAGTGTATAGATACATTTAATTTTCAAGGTGATTTATTATAGTAGTTTCATTATGTAAAAAACTAATAAGAGCTATAATTTATAGAGACTCTTGCTTTGTATAAGGAACCTATACTAATTGCTTTACAGATGAGCATTTTAAAGTCTCTATTATTAGTCCCATCTTTCAGGTAGAAAAACTGAGGCCTGGAGAGGTTGAGGAAATTTCCAAAATTTACTCAGCTGGCTAGTTTCAGAGTCAGCTTTTGAACTCAAGTTGCTGAATCTAAGTCTTCTCTCTTAAAGTCCATATTGGCCAAATTTTATTTGTTTATTTATTTGTTAATCCTCACCAGAGGATATTTTCCCATTGATTTTTAGAGAGTGTGGAAGGGAGAGGGAGAGACAGAGAGAAACATCGATGAGAGAGACGCATTGATGGGTTGCCTCCTGCACATACCCTAACCAGGGCTGGGGAACCTGCAACCAATGTATGTGCCCTTGACTGGAATCAAACCCAGGACCCTTCAGTCTGCGGCTGATGCTCTATCCACTGAGCCAAACTGTCTAGGGCTTATCGGCCAAGTTTCTTCAAAGTTACCTGTATCAGTTTATAGCACCACGGCTCTAAGAAGAATTGGCCATCTCTAGATTATTAAATATTTTGTGTTTTAAATTGTTTTTCTTTATAGAGTTTTTTTTTTTTCTAAAGACCACATGCACTACATTATATCAAGTTAGCCTAAATACAATCACAATGGAAACACGAATATCCTCCGACAGCTTTCCCCCCCCCCCCCCAAATACACAAGTCAACAGAAAAGTCAATGTATGCATATATAATCTCCATATCTGTTCTTGGATCCTCCATTACCTTTCTGGAATTGAAGGTGTTCTCAGTTCCTGGAGTCTGGTTTGCCAGTTCAGTCACCCAGCCAAATTCCTCTCTCATCTTCTCCATCAGATACGCCGTGTCCTCCAGATGATGTTGCGTCACCTGGAGAATCTGGACGTACTGCTGATCGGATATGTTGACCAATTTAAGGGCGTCATCTACTTTTGTGTGTAGTTCAGGGACATCGGGACAGTCTAACAAAGAAGAAAGTGAGGTGGTAAAGGAAAAGATCCATGAGACTTGGAGTTGGGTGATGTGAATGGAAATCCCTGCCCTTTAGCTTTCTATTTCCAGCCTTTTGACCTTGAGTGATTGTTCAACGAAGTAACAGGGGCAGGGATGAAATAATGTAAAGTGCCTGATCACACTGTGTATGTTGTAGACTTAACAAACGTTACCCTTCCTTTTCCTTCCTTCTGTGCTGTCTCTGAAAGCCATTAGGGCTGCTCACTGATATTCTGATCGGGACACATGGGGGAACACACTTCCTGCCACCGTGAAGTCCAGCACAATGCTCTGCAAAGTGATGTGTCTCCCTCAGGGTGGAAGCTTGGAGAACAGTGTGGGATTTCCCACGCTCCCTGTGGTGGGGGGTCTGTCATCCTGGGGAGGGATGTGCAGCAGGACCTCACTCAGACTGCAACTGGCACTCTGTAGAGCGAGAAAGAAGCCTTTGTGTTTGCAGACCACAAAGACCCTCCAGTTCTTTGTTATTATGGCCTCACAGCCCATCCGCACTGGGGCAGCCTTAAAGGAGCTTGTATAGGTGTGCTGAAGAGCGGGTTAATGTTGTGTGAAGATTATCTGTATATTATGGACGCTTCCGTGCGTTAGGGCATTTTATTTTATTTTTATTTTTAAAATATATTTTATTTTATTACTTAAATATATTTTATTGATTTTTTACAGAGAGGAATAGAGAGCCAGAAACATCGATGAGAGAGAAACATCGACCAGCTGCACACATCCCACACCCCCCCATTGGGGATGTGCCTTCAACCAATGTACATGCCCTTGATCAGAATCGAACCTGGGACCCTTCAGTCTGCAGACCAACGCTCTATCCACTGAGCCAAACCGGTTTCGGCCATTAGGGCATTTTAAATCATAAGAGATCGTTGTGGTGGAGAAAGACTAGTCTTGATAAACTGACTTGTCTTTTGCTGTTTACTAAAAAACTGTGCCTTCAGCAAGATAGGAGTGAGGGGAACTCCACCAATCAGAAGCCAGGTGACTGCCTCACCTCAGGTCTTAACCATCATTTATTAGTCCTTTTATTATATTTTTTAAATCCTCACCTGAGGATATTTTTCCATTGTTTTTTAGAGAGAGTGGAAGAGAGAGGGAAAGACAGAAACATCGATGTGAGAGAAACACACCAACGGTTGCCTCCCACAGGAGCCCTGACAAGGGCGGGGCCCGGGCGGAGCCTTCAACCAAGGTCAGAAAACAGACTCAACCCTCCACACGTGCCAGTATCTCGTTGGCTAAGCCAAGATTCATAGGTCAGAAAACAGACTCTACCTCTTAATGGGGAGGATGGCCAAGTATTGTGGTCATTCTGTTTTCAACCTACTGCACACCGTCCCCTTCTGCCTGCAAGAGGTCCCAGTTGTTCTCAAGTAATTATTAATATTGCCTACATCCCTTCCAAAAGAGATCCAGTTTAATTGACAATTATATGGTCTTATGTAACAGGAACTGGGCCAGTGACTGAAATTCCTTGGTATAAAACCCATGTGCTGACCACATAGATTAAAAAATAGAATATTATCCAAAATTTAAAGCCTGATGTGTCCCTTCCATATTACGACCCGTTTACCCCCTCAGAAGGAAACTACCATTTGGAATTTGGGTGTATATATCCAGTTCTGGTCATTGGTAAGGGAAATGAGGAAAAGAGCCACTAATACTGACTCTGGTGACCAAAAATGTATGGTAAAGGGTGAAAAAAAATTGATGTACAGTGTTTTGGAATCTATTTTATTTACATATAAGATTATAATTATAGCTGTGCTTAGTATTAGAACAAAGAACAAGTCAAATGTCGACTAAAGAGGCAAATCATTTACTGAAAGATGTATGAGAATTGTTTGTAAAACATTCGAAACAATTTAAATGTACTTCAGCAGAATGCATAAACTGTGATATGCTTGCTTTGACTAACATACTACAGTGAATTAATGAGTTACAATAACACGTATTCACATGATTAAATCTCACCAACTGTACTGAGTAAAAAGCCAAGTTGCAAAAGAACAAAAAATGTAAGCAGTAACATTTATGTTAAGAAAAAATTGTCCCAAACTTGGCAGTGAGGCAAAAGAATGGCTGTGTGTCCTTGCCATGTCATAGAGAACATTCGCTAAGAGGTCCACCCAAAGATTACCTAATTCGCTAGGGAAATGGTCCTTGTTGGACTTACTATTTCTGTTGAGAAGGGTCAGACTCTATGCAGTTATATGTAAATTATAGATTAGAAAGTTGCAAGAAATTTTCACCCAGTACAGATATAAATTATTTTGGCCTGATAGAAAACATAACTGCAAAAGTTACAGTTTTATTGTCCTTTAGTAATGAACTAATTTTATATCTAATTTTGCAATTTTACTTGAACATTCTGTCTGCCTTTGACTCTAGGTACTTCAGTCTCTCCCGTACTTCTCTGAAACAGCTTGACATTTGGCTGCTTCTCCCATTCCTAGGATAAATTAATCTTGACATGTCCTCATTTTACATTTGTATGAATCACATTTTTAAGCTTAAACATTATACTTTGACACTGTAAAAAAAACACACACACACCATAAAGCTTTGCTACATATGGTGTGCATGCTATATATAAACCACACATGATAAAATATAAATGAGTGCAAGAAATAATAAACTCCAAGTTCAAAATAGCAGTTTCCTTTTAGGGGATAAAAAGAATGCGATGTAGAAGGGGCACAGCGGGGACTTCATCTGTTTCTGGTAATGTTTAATTCTTAATCTATGTTTGGATACATGAGGGTTTCTTTTTTAATTTTAAAGAGAGAGAGAGAAACATTGATTTGCTCCACTTATTTGTGCATTCATTGGTTGATTCTTGTATGTGCCCAGCCCAGGGATGGAACTCGAAATCTTGGCATATTGGGATGACACTCTAGTCAACTGAGCTATCCAGACAGGATAAGAAATAAGTTTTTATTATTTTGCCCTTTATCTTCACAATAAAATGCATTTTATAGTGAACATTTTAAATTGTAGGGGGGCACATTAGGACATCCTTTCCTTTATGTGTTATCTTTGCAGCAACTTACATTACCTGTATGTTGTGTTGTCTGCTGTGTACTACATCTGACACATTATTGGGTGTGTACCGATTATCTGATGCTATATACTGATTATATTTATACTATATTATCTAATATCTTCTGTATTACCTTTTTCTAGTTTTATTAAGAAATGATTGACATATATCACTTTAATCAATGTAAGATGTACAGCATGATGGTTTGATTACATATATTTTGAAAGAATTCCTGCATTATGTTTAGTTAATGTTCATCACTGCATACAGATAGAATAAAGGGGAAAGAAAATGCTCCTTGTGGTAGAACTCTTAGAATCTACTCTCTTAACTTCCATAGAAGCCACACAGCAGTGCTAACTAGACATCATGTTGAACATTACATCCCCAGGTCTTATTTATGATGTAACTGGAAGTTGGTACCTTTTAACCACCTTCCTCCAAACCCCTCCCCATCACCTGTACTAGTTTATGACAATCAGTGAGAGGTTATTCATTAAAGCTGCTAACTGGATGAAAGGAAGTTAACAAAACGTTTGAACGGGGCTATTTTTGTAAGTGGTTAGTATATGAGCGAATATTTTCTCTTGTGAAAACTTCTGTTTCTGTGTGCAGTCTCACACTATGACTTAAAAAACAGACACTTGAGTATAAAGCATCATTACCCCTTCAGACATTTATTTAATCCTCAGAACATCGGTACGAAGCAGCTATATCAGTCCCAGTTTCCAAACGATAGAGCACAGGTGCAGAGTCACCCAGTTAGCAATTCAGACAAAATAAGGCCCTCCTGGCTTTCACAAAAAGATCCAGTTTATATTCAACCTCTTACTCCAAGCCCCTAGCCACGCTTGTTTTTAGAATTTCCTTCCTGAAAGGCTTTGGCAAACAGAAGCATCGGAATCAAAAGCTCTTCTTGGCTTTTGTAAGGAATTTTGTGTTTAGGTCCTAGTAGGGGTGAAGGAGCAACTGTATTTATTTATTTATTTTTAAAATTCTCACCCGAGGATGTTTTTCTGTAGATTTTCAGAGAGAATGGAAGAGAAAGGGAAAGGCAGAGAGAAATATCGAACCTGGGACCCTTCAGTCCACAGGCTGAAGCTCTATCCATTGAGCCAAACGGGCTACGGCCAAAGGAGCAGCTTTAGTTACGGGAAGTAAAGGGAGGCGAGGGGACTGTGGACAGAAGGATTTCTCTCCTGGGGGGCGAACAACGGCCATGGTCAGACCCGGGAAAGCAAAGTCTGCGTGGGGCTTGAGAGGAACAGGCAGTTTCCATTTTAAATACCAATTTAAATACCAATTTAAATACCAATTTAGCCCATCTAGTGAGAAAGTTAATGCCACTTTCAAAAAGAAAAAAAAAAATCACTTGGCTAAAATTTTGCTTACTTAAGGGAAGCATTGCCTTCATTGGGAGGGAAGGCGGGGGGGCACGGGTTTCTTTTCTTTCTTTTTTTTTTTTTTTTTTTTTTTTTTTGCAGCAAGAAGGAAGGAGTTGTCCTAATTTGTTATTAGTTCTCTTGCACACAGTTGTGCTTGTTTGGTTTTCAAACCATCAAAACTTCCACAGGAAAGGGAGGGAATTTTAACAAGGGAAAAAGTGATTTTACCTGGTTTTCAATAATAGAAGTTTGTAAACTACATTGAGCACCTCCATCTGAAAATGAGCTCGCTAAAAACGTGCATGAAGGGAAGCAAATAAACCCACGATGCTTGTAAAAGTGAGCTGTGGTTCTTTTAACCTCTGACCAGAATTCTATTGAAACCCTGAGAAAACAATATTTACCTTCCCATAGATAATCCTGGCACTGTTGGCATCCTGTATGACATTGGGAACAGTCTGACAAATTCTGGCCAAGTTCTCCACACACTCCTCTGTCCCGCACAGGCTCTGTCTGTGAGCTCGGGCCTCCAGGGTCAGTGTCTGCAGGAAACACAGCGTTTACACGTCAGGGTCATTACAGTCTGCACTTTCAGGGGGTGGATAGCAATGCCATTTCTTTTTCTTACCGGTGCTCTCAGAATCTCCTTCCTGTTTTTAGTCATAGGAGTGCATGTTGGTGCAACCATATGCTAAGACAACTTGACATCTATTGGAAGCTGTATATCTCCTCTAATTCAGCAATCTCATTACAAATCAGTATTACTCATCATTATGAGTACACTCCCTTTGCCCCACCCCCAGAAAGAATTTTATTTTCTGGAAGGAATCATGAGGAATTATTAATGGTAACTTGTTCAGAGAGAGACTTGATGGGCTAAAAGAGGACAGCTTTCATTCATTTTGTTCCTTCGCATATATGAATTCTTTTAAATTAAGTCTTATTTTTATCACTATTATTTCTGATGTCAGTGGGGTTAACTAAATAGGAAATGGTACAGAATGGCTCAGTGGTTGAGTGTTGACTATTGAACCAGGAAGTCATGGTTCCATTACTGGTCGGGGCATGTGCCTGGATTGTGGGCTCGATACCCAGTGTGAGGTATGCTGGAGGCAGCTGATGGATGATTCGCTCTCATCATTGATGTTTATGTGTCTCTCCCTCTCCCTTTCCAAAATTAATAAAGATATATTTTTTAAAATATGGCATTGTAAACCACTTTTCTCTTTAGATTTGAATTTAAAAATTGTAATAATTATTTTAATTTTTTAAAAGTAATAATTGAGAAATATATTGAAGTTTCAAAGATATTAAAAATGTTTGTTTCTTGCCAATTAGTGATTCTCATCATTGATGTTTCTAGTTCTCTTTTCCTCACCCTTCTTCTATGAAATAAATAATATATATACACCTAGCACATTAAAATATATATATATTTTAAATGTCTGTTTCTTGCCTGGCCAGCATTTCTCAGTGGTTGAGCATCCACCTATGAAACAGGATGTCAAGGTTCGATTTCCTGTCAGGGCATATGCCGGGGTTACAGACATGATCCCCAGTAGGGAGTGTGGAAGAAGCAGTTGATTAATAATTCTCTCTCATCATTGATGTTTCTATCTCTCTCCCTTCCTCTCTGAAATCAAATATATATATATATATACATACATACATATATATATATATAAAATCAAATATATATATAATCAAATATATATATAATCAAATATATATATATTAAAAGGAGCAAAGTGCAAAATATCTTCTCATTAGATAAATTTTCTAGAGGCTATAGGTTTACTTTTCACTTACCACTCGTCCAGAAAAATGATGGAAACCGCATGTAAATACCCTCCAGCCTCTACCTGCCTATCCTATATAATAAAACCATAATATGCAAATCGACTGAACGGTGGAATGACTGGTCACTATGATGCACACTGACCACCAGAGGGCAGATGCTTAACTCAGGGGCTGCCCCCTGGGGGTCAGTGTGCTCCCACAAGGAGAGCACCGCTCAGCTAGAAGCCAGGTTCACAGCTGGCAAGTGCAGCGGTGGTGGTGGAAGCCTCGTTTGCCTCCGCAGCAGTGCTAAGGACCCCTCGGGGGATGTCCAACTGCCGGCTTATGCCCACGTCCCATGAGTTGGCCTAATCCAGCAGTTGGACATCCCCTAAGGGGTCCCAGACTGTGAGAGGGCACAGACCGGGCTGAAGGTTTTACACCGCCGCCCCCCCCCCCACCCCCCCCCGCCCCACAGTGCACGAATGTCATGCACCGGGCCTATTTTTTATAAAGAGTCCCCATGTGTTCATCTGGGAAGAGAATGTCTACTTTGTTGAGCTTGCCCCATACCATCTGGTTAGGGTAGGGTTACTGGAGAAAGAAGAGTATAAAGATATAACACTGGCTATTTTGTTTTTTGTTTTTAATGTTTGAGTTTATAGGCGACCCTGGATCTCTAAATTGTCACTGAGGTGAAGGGGGATGAGGGGCAGGGGGCAGGGGGCCCAGGAGCCAGCTGAGAGTAGGGGCTGGAGCCAGAGTGTGTGGATGGGGGGAACCTCTTGCAGACTGGTGGAAACGCACATTCTGAGTTGGCGGTGGAGGAGGGAGTTGCAGTGGTTGGAAAATGGTTTAGATTTCAACTGTCTGAGTTACTAGTACTCCTGTGCACATTTGAATGTAGCAACCCATGTGTAAGATGGCTACACAATGTGAAAGCTATAGGGGAGGAGGAGGGCATAATTTTGCTTCAATGAACATATTCTTTTTCTTTTTTTAAATATATTTTATTGATTTTGTACAGAGAGGAAGGGAGAGAGATAGAGAGTTAGAAACATCGATGAGAGTGAGTCATCGATCAGCTGCCTCCTGCACATCCCCTACTGGGGATATGCCCACAACCAAGGTACATGCCCTTGACTGGAATCGAACCTGGGACCCTTCAGTCCCCAAGCCGACGCTCTATCCATTGAGCCAAACCAGTCTCGCCTCAATGAACATATTCTTCATTGTTGGACTATTGTTCCAAGACAATAGATAGCTATTTAAAAATGCAGGCAAGCCGAAACCGGTTTGGCTCAGTGGATAGAGCGTCGGCCTGTGAACTGAAAGGTCCCAGGTTCGATTCTGGTCAAGAGCATGTGCCTTGGTTGAGGGCACATCCTCAGTAGTGGGTGTGCAAGAGGCAGCTGATCAATGATTCTCTCTCATTGATGTCTCTAACTCTCTATTCCTCTCTCTTCCTCTCTGTAAAAAATCAATAAAAATGTTAAAAAAAAACACACACACAAAAAAAACGCAGGCAAAACTTAGCCAGTATCATCCCCGCATTGATGTGTTTAGTGTGTTGTCCTTATGTTGTCCTGGATATCTGGGGAACTTGGGATCTCAGAACGGAATACCAGACAGAACGCCTGACTTACCAGAAAGGTCCACCAGACCCTGAAATAGAGCCTGATGACAATTCCAGTAACGATGGCTGTTCTTCTCGTGGAACAATGGGACGGGAAGGATGTAGTGCTTTTTTTTTTTTTTTTTTTTTTTTTTTTTTTTTTTTTCCTGGCTTCGGTTTCTGACAGTGAGAGGCAAGCCCCTCCTCCATAGAGGCCTGCTGTGCAATGTCATGGCAACTTGGAGAATCTGATTCAAATGTTGCCAACTACAGCTGATGCAATTGGAGAATAGTCAGCTAGAAGAAGTCCCTTTTTTTCCTACATACAAAAATCCGCCTATAATTAATATATACAAGTGGATGAGTTAGGAGATAAGTATACACACATGCAATCATCCTCACAATCTATGCCATAAAATATCCATCAACTCAAAAAATATCCTCCTGCTCTCTTATTTATTATTATCATTATTGTTATTACCAAGAACTCTTAATATAAGAGCTACCCTCTTAGCAATGTTTCAAAGTATCCGATAGAGTGCTATTAACCATGGGCACTAGGCTATGCAATAGATCTCTAGGACGTATTCCTGGTATAACGGAAACTGTATTCCCTTCGAACACTTCCCCATTTCCCCTTCCCTCCTGCACCTGGCAGCCACCATCCCACTCTTTGCTCCTGTGAGTTTAACTAGTTTAGGTTCCTCATGTAAGTGAGTGCATGCAGTATTTGTTCTTCTGTGTGTGGCTTATTTCACTTCACACCGTGTCCTCCAGATTCCTTCATACGGCCATATTTTACTTTTCGTGTCAGAGGGGAGGAGCAGCCTTTTACGTGGCCTTGTGATCCGTGGGAAATAACTCCAAGGAGACGCAGACCCTACAGGTGGCCCACATGGCCACTCTTCTGGCTGAGATGCTGCGTCCCAGCCACTCCACAGAAGCACAAAGACGTTTCCTCCTTCTGCCTTGAGACATAAGCAGAATTGTTTTCCAACAAGAAATATTAAGACGTGGGCATAAGCGATATTGGTAGAAGGCAATTCTTTTTTTTTTAATTTAAGTTCTCACCCAAAAATATTTTTCCATTGATCTCTAGAGAGACTGGAAGAAAGTAAGGAGCCGGAGAGAAACACACACACACACACACACACACACACACACACACACACACACACACACATTGATTGGTTGCTTCCCCCCAGCGCTCCTACTGGGGCTAGGGAACCTGCAATCGAGGTACACACCCTTGACCGGGAATCAAACCCGAGACCCCCTCAGTTAGTGGGCCAATGCTCTAACCATTGAGCCCAACCAGCCAGGGCAGTAAAAGGCAATTCCCATCTTTCACAGAAATTCCTATTTCTGTAGTTTTGGGGTTGCCTGTGAGCATTTCCTGTGGCTTTGTGCACACATGTTATGACGTAAGGAATTACGGTAGCGATGCAGAGGAGGCATAAATTAATGGTCTGGTTTTCTGGGACACTCAGCTTCTGACCACCTGGGAGCTGAGGAGGTTCACTTCAAAGAAACTCCTCCCTGTTCCAGCGGAATCGAGCTGAGCATCTACATAGTTTTAACGAAGGGGGAACCCTCTTCCCCTGCAGAGTTCTCACCCTACCAGCATGTTCTTTTTCAACTTCTTCGATACTTTGTTTGAATGACAGAACGGCCCCACAGAGCTCTGCAGGAGGTTGGGAGAGGGATGGTGTTTGGCAGCTTTCAAAAGTTCTGAAAGGCTCTGAAACCAATTCTCCAGAAATCGCCACTCTCAAAACATAGTTATAAGGACTTAGGAATGTCTAGCACCCCCACAGCTACATAAAACCTGGCCTTAGTATGAACATCTAAGTGGAAATGACCTTGTCATACTCGCCTTCGTGTTTTGGCAAGTCCCCCATGGCCGTCAGGGTCTCGGTGAGGGTGGTGCTGATTCTCCGGTAAACGGAGAGACCGAACTCGCAGAGCAGGTGGAAGAGGCCGAGGATGTCCCAGCTCTGCACGCCGCCGGCCTCCTTGGCTGGCTCTCTGACTGACGCTGGGAAGAGGGAAGGCTCCATTGCGTCTGTATCTGACGTGAAATACGACTGAAAGGCCTGGTCGAATTCTCGCTCCCTCTGTTTGAAGACGTTCAAACTCCTGTTAAAGAGAAATCCCACGTCCACGGCCAGTTGGCTGAACATGTGCTCAATGTGGGCCACTTGTGCATCTTCCTCCGGCACCTTCTCTCCGACGGGGCGCTCTCTGTCATTATCTTTGCGGAGAGGAAACAGGAATTGATACATCTTCCTAAAAAGCAGTCCAACCTGTGGGGTCAGGGACAGAAATGGAATAGAATTTTATTTTCTCTCTGGGCTATTTTTGTTGTTGTAAATTTTAAAGTAAACTGACAGAAGTTCTAAATCAAGAACAAATCTGGGCAGACTAGGAACAGGCAATTGAAGGGAAGATATTTCATTAACACTCTCGTACAGGCTTCGGTTTGGACGGTGGAAACAGGGTCTGAAATTCCTTCTGGTTTATGTTTGCCGATCGAAGGCCTAAGAAGGCCAAGTTTTCAATGTTGTTGGCAAACCACAGGCGGTTCCTAAGACCACACAACCTGCACAGGTAAGAATGGTCTCCGGATTTCCCGCCTGTTCTTACTCAGCCGTAATCTGGTGTATCCGAGAGTGGCAATAAAACATTTCACTCTTTAAAAACAGCAGATGCAATGAACAGCGGAGGCAAATTAACTTGGCATACGGATCATCCTAAGGGTTGTTCCCTGTGTAATTGGGTATGGCACTGCCAAGCCAGGAGCACACTCTGATTAGTGCGTGCTCTCCTATGCAGAGGGAAACTTCACTCCGGTTCACATTCCGCTCACTTCGTGAAGGGGGAGGGAAATCCAGGCCAATGGAGTAGGAGACTTTTGTGGGGCAGAGCTCATGGTATTCAGGTCACCTCCCTCTGCGATTCCCTCTGCCCAGAAGATAGCCGGAGGGGACAAAAAAGAAAATACGCCAGTCCTGTAAGACACGCATGGATAGGCTCAAGGGGAACATGAGGCTGTGTGTGTGTGTGTGCGTGTGTGCGCGCGCGCGCGTGTGCGTGCACATGCATGTGTAAGATGCCATGGAAGGCAAGCCCACCGAAGGAGAGATTCAGGAGGCAGAGAGTGTCTTCAAATGTTTGGCCTCCAGGGAGAATAAATTAGAGCAGCTTGAAATCAGAGACCATAATGCTATTATTTTGAGAATGCAATTCAGCAACATTTATTGGATATCTATAATGCTTTAATGAAAATAAGTGGAGTCTGGTCCCTGCCTTTATAGAGCTTACAATCTAGTGGGAGTGTGTTCACAAATAATAAGTACAGAAAATGCTAAGGTGTCATTCACACAGTGTCCTTAAAGGGAGGGACAAGGACTGAATGGCTGTTGTAATTTATAAATTGTGCAGGCCAGGCAAATCATGCATAAACATGGATGTTAGATTCTAGATCGCAAAAGGCCAATATCCTATCAGGCATCTCTATTCTAAATATTAATATAAATTAAAAAAATTTAAAAGTCAGTTGAAGAAGATACCTTAAAAACTTTAAAATCTTAAGCTCTTTTATTCCCTTACCATATTTCCCACAGAGGACCATCTAGGCTGGTAGGTTGTATGAAATCTCACACAGTCACTTTCCAAGCAAGATTTGCACTCGTCCCAGGAATCTGCCAAAGACTCCTGACAAAGCCTTTCTTCCTCTTCCAGATGTTCTTGAACTTCATTCATAAGTTTCCGGGCCTCCTAATTAAAAAGTGGAAGCAGACATCCTATTTGCATTTCATGACTCTATGTATACTTTAGTTGATTTCACTCTTTAAAAATAACACAATTCTAGACCACTTCTTCAGGCCGCTAGCAGCTGACAGATCTACCCCAAAGAAAGCTTTCTCTGATTAAGAGCATTGATGGATTCCTACTGAAGACTGTGAAAAGGTTATCCATTCATTTACTAGGTATTTATGGAGTGCTGGCTATGGAACAGACATTACTAGACGCAGTCCCTAATTTGGGGAATGACGGTAACATGTTTGTCTGTCTTTATATCTAGAAGGTAGTCCTAAGGCTTAGAAAGCTGACACATTAATCTGTTTCAGTTATGCCTTTAGGTTTTTTAAGTTTTTAACACTTCGAGAAAGTGCAGTTCTTATTATATCGAATCAGGCCTTCCTATTCATAATTCCGATTGTGGGGATGCTGTACGTTTTGCACCTTCATTCTTCTTGTCTGTATTCCCAGCACTCCCTCTTGTGGTGATTTGCTGCACTTGGCCAGGTCCCACTCTGGGCGGAAAGGAGCCCAGCGGAAGTGACACAGTCTGTCCCTCAGAACCTCAGCCCTGTCCCCTGAGCTCCTCTCAGGCCCTCAGGCTGCCCCCCGCCAGGACCCTGGCCTCCTTACAGTGCGGATTTCTGCAGGCAGGCTCCCTCCAGCCCGAGATGTACTTCAGGGGAATTGTGGGGAATAATGGACCAGCCATTAGGAGATATCGGCAGAGCTAAGGGCTACCCCCTTCAGTGAAAACTATACGAGGAAGCCATTTTTCTGAGCTTAAACAGAATTTAGTGTGTGTCTTCAACTAGTGAAAAAAGAAGACTTCACCCTTTTCTGGCCAAAAAAACAACAACACCTGGGCACGATGATCCCCTGCATCTCCTTTGCTGGGCTTGCATTGCTCAGCGGCCCTCATGGCAGAATTCGGAGGCTAAGCCAGGTGGCATGTGCTATGTCCCACAGTATATCCCACTGTGCCTTGTGACTCAGACAGCGTTTTCCCACCTCCTGTGAGAGAGAACCCTACATCTTCTCGAGGGAGGGTGCCTCACCTTGACACCTAGCTTTTCTCAGTCCCAGTTTTAAACAGTCTGCTCATTGTCATCATAAATCTAATTCCCAATATGTCCAATTCCCAACTACAGCCATTGTGTGCCCTTGGGCAAATGGGAATTAAAAATAGGATCTACCGCCGAAACCCGTGTGGCTCAGTGGATAGAACGTCGGCCTGCGGACTGAAGGGTCCCAGGTTTGATTCCAGTTAAGGGCATGTACCTTGGTTGAAGGCACATCCCCAGTAGAGGGGGTCGGGGGTGCAGGAGGCAGCTGATCAATGATTCTCTCTCATCGATGTTTCTAACTCTCTATCCCTCTCTCTTCCTCTCTGTAAGTAATCAATAAAATATATTTTTAAAAAATAGGATCTACCTCTTAAGGTTTTGTATTACGTGAGAGAAGCCGGCCAGGCATTAAGCAAGTTATTTGTAGTGTTTCCCAGGTTTCTCCCATCGGCCCCCAAGAGCGTAACAAAAACTAATACCGAATCGCGCCCCACGTTTCGGTCGTGAAATGTCGCCACGGAGGAAGCAGGTCTCTGGCTGAGGAATGCCTGCCCAGTCCTTCCATTTCCCCCTCAATGTCTCACCCACGGACAGTCCGTATCATTTCCTGTAACTGACAGCTTATTAAAGTCCCAAAAAGAACCTGGAGAGGGGGAAACTAAGTCACTCTAGGGATTTCCCGTTTAGTAAGTTTCCGACGTTCTCACTAAATATGGATAGGAGGGCACTGGGGAAGGGTTGATATGATGCAGGGTCAACTGAGGATGGGAGGTGCTCAGTACTGGGAGATGGGGGGCACCAACCCATCTATACCAATTCATAGTTTGCCTAAAGTCTCCCCTATTCTGGGTTTAAAGTAATTTTAGGAGACTTAAGGTTAAACAAGTTTTTCTTTGAAAAGATTAAAATTTTTAATTGAGTGTCCAGATCTTAAGAGTGAATTTTTATACAGTAAGAAAAATTAAAACTTTAAGAATGGCCCTAGGATTCTTTAGGGCCAGAACTGAAACCAACCCCTGCTTCCTGACCCTCCCCAACTGGATCATTCTCTTCATAAGACTGCACCCTGGGCTTCCCAGGAGGTTGGGGAAAGGAAGAAACACAGAAAGCCACTGGGTCCCCCAGGCAAAGCACCAGCTGACTTTCTCCCCAGCCATTCAGGACAGTGAATTGTTAACCCCATGGTCGGCAAACTGCGGTTCTCGAGCCACCTGAGGCTCTTTGGCCCCTTGAGTGTGGCTCTTCCACAAAATACCACGGCCTGGGTGAGTCTATTTTGAAGAAGTGGCGTTAGAAGAAGTTTAAGTTTAAAAAATGTGGCTCTCAAAAGAAATTTCAATCGTTATACTGTTGATATTTGGTTCTGTTGACTAATGAGTTTGCCCACCACTGCGTTAACCTGTTAACATCTCAACCCACAGTTTCCTTATTTGTAAATGAAAGTAATGGTTTGCCCAGATGTTGGAAGAATTATTTTATTTTTTAAAATACATTTTTATTGATTTCATCGAGGAAGGGAGGGGAAGAGATAGAAACATCGATGATGAGAGAGAATCATTGATTGGCTGCCTCCCACACTGTGGACGGAGCCTGCAACCCAGTGATGTGCCTCAAACAGGAATCAAACCGTGACCTCCTGGTTCATAGGTCACCTCAACTGCTGGGCCGCGCCGTGACGATGTTTGGTGCGTGGCCTGTGAGTGATATTTGGTGTCCTTCGTCCCAGTGGCCAGGCTCGCAAGGTCAGCGGGGAAGAGTGAAGCTCCAGAAGCTTCCACATTCTCCTCAGGAAGGAGTTATTTTTAATTTCCTAAAAACCTTTTGCTTGCTGCCAGAAGGAAGGGGGGCTTTCAGCTGCTGGCCAGGCAATCTCCTTTCCTGCTAGGGCCCCGGCAGGATGTGGGGGTGAAGGTGTGCGACAGGACCCCGCAGCTTTGTCGCACGGGCTGTCCAATAGCTCGCTGGCTGGCCCGGAGGCCACCGTGCGGGGAGGGGGAGAATCCCAGCAGCCACCTGAGACTCGTGGCCTCCACCTTCAAAGGCCCAGGGAGGAAATACTAGAACTCCTCTCTGTATTTTTAAATTTAAAAATTGACTCTGGGGAGAAAACGAAGGGAGTTGTTTAATGAGTATAGAGTTTCAATTTCGTAAGATGGAAAGAATTCTGGAGATTGGCTGCACAACCATGTGAATGTACTTAGCGCTTAAAAGTAATGAAGATGGTAAACTTTATATTATGTGTATTTTACCACAGTTTTAAAATTATTTAATGAAAACGCGTTTTAAAAGTAATTTTCCCTTAATGTTAAAATGTAAAACATTTCCCAAGTTCTGTTTGTTAAAGTTTTGACCTCTTTGATTTAAAGGGTAATATTGGAAAACCATTTTTTAAAAAATGTTTTAATTGTTTTGAGTGTTATGTTAATGGTTAATGCTATTAAATTATGAGCCATGAAATATTGATAATTTAGAAATGTATTGAGCTTCATAATTGTAACATATGAACAATTTTTAACATTTTCCATGGACATTTGAATATATACTGAGTGGCCAGATTATTATGATCTCTGAACGCATAATAATCTGGCCACTCAGTGTGTGTGTGTGTGTGTGTGTGTGTGTGTGTGTGTGTGTGTGTATACTAGAGGCCCTGTGCATAAATTTGTGCATGGTTGGGGTCTGGCCAGCCTGGCCAGGGGGAGGGGACATGAGCAGTTGGCTGGCCTGCCTGCTGGTTGAACTTCTGGTCAAGGGGACAATTTGCATATTAGCCTTTTATTATATAGGATATACACTGAGTGGCTAGATTCTTATGCATTCAGAGATCATAATAATCTGGCCACTCAGTGTAATGTGTATGCTTTGTTGGCAAGATCCATGGTTTGAACCACAGCTGTCAGGTGAAGGTATCTGAATTAAAAAAAATGATCAGGCTGATGTACTATTTCATCCTGTGGTGCTCTCTGTGGTGCTGTGTCAGGCCAGTGCAGGAGGCCGACGGCTGTGAGGAACCTGGGGAAGGTGGCCCTCACATTCCAGATGCACTGACACAGGCCTTCTCTCTCTGTTCACTTGCAGCCAATTGCCGTGAGCTGGGTTTCAGAAGACTTGGTTACATGATGGTTTTTATTGTCTAGCTTTAACTAAACTAACCCTCACTAACAGGACAGGAGGCTAAAAACCCAGCAGGTTATGAATAATCTCAGCTCTGCAAAACCCAGCAGGTTATGAATAATCTCAGCTCTCAAGCAAACAGCAGAGCTGATCCTTCTTCGTTCTGCGCTCTTTATTGGTGACAGATAAAAATCTGATTATCTAATCGGCTCTGGCACATGGGCTAAAACATTTCAAAATACCTAGATTATTTGAAATACAAACTTACATTCCCCTTAGCTAACCACGAACCTCATCCTAAGTGTATTTTGTGCCTTGAACTACTAGTAGGTGGTAGTAACTCAGGTTTTTAATTTATAAATTAATATGCATAATGTTTAGGAATGAATGCTAACAAATGTTTTTGGAATAGGGATAGGAGATTAAAAAAAAAGAAAAAACTTTGCGGACCTCTGATCTGGCCAAAAACTCCCTGAATATTTCTGACTCAATATCCTAACTCAAAAGGAACTAAGGATAAAGCTTTTTTTTTTTTTTAGAAAGCAGCATTCCCCAACAGAGGTGAGTTCCCACAATTCCCGGGTCTGGAGCCGTGCAAAGGCCTATTCTACAAGGAATATGTTCTTTGAAGACATTTACAATATCTCCAGTAAAATCTGCTCTCAAAAAAAAAAAAATCTATTATTGAGAGGGTGGGAATCATCAACTGCCCTTGTAAGTGCAATATTTATGGCCTAGATATGTTTAAGAACAGATGTTATTTTCAATTGCTGTACCTGTTTTTCTTCTCTGCATTTCTTCAGGGTTGTCATTAGATTAGTATGTTCCTCCTCTCTCCTTTCCATCACGATTTTCATCTGCTTCATGCCAATCAAAGCCTTCTTCACCTCCTCATCAGCACCCGTATCGCCAGGCTCAGGAAAACCTGTAAGATAGCTTTCTGCTTTTTTCTTTGAGATCTGATCAGAGTATAATGTATCTGCATCAAAATACAGCGGATTCGCCAATTTTACCCCGTGTCTTCTAGATAGATAGTTAATTGTTCTGTTATGGCATCAGACGCTGAAAGCAGATCATAATGAATTAACTGTCAGCTGCCACGTGGACCCCATTGCCACACGGATAACACCTTCTGTTCCTCACTGCTGAGCTCCCAGACAAGTCAGAGTTCATGTAACTTCAGTTTTGCCATTTTACTCAGGGTCTGTTTTCATTTATCCATTTTATCCCTTTCACTTAAAACTTGGGTGTGTTTGTATGAAAGCAAAGTTTGCATTTTCTTCACAATTTATATTCAATACCCAACTGGGAACCTCAAACCCAGTGAGCAATTTCCCTTTCTCTCAGCTTCAATGACTTTCCTCGAAAGTATCTCATTTAATGCAAGATTCTTTAATAACCTACTAGACATCTCTTACACATTTTAATAATCCCCGAGTGAGTATAAAATTCATTATAATTCTCTCCACAATAGCCAACGTGGCTTTTTAACAACCTCATTCTTGCCTCCAAATTTAGATCCTCCCCCAAAAGCAACATTTCAACTGATGAATTGTCCTAAGGGTTAAGTACCCAAAACATATATTATCAAGCAAAGGTCAAAAGTTAACGAGCACAGACCAACCAGACTCCATGTCATTCTAACCCATCCTCTCCCTATCTCGAGAACAACCGCACAGAATACTTTGTTTAAATGTTTCGAATGCTAGCAAAGAATTTCACTGTTCATTAAAGCTGTGCTCAGAGGACACCAAACATCTGGACGGTACCAAGAAATGCAGTCAGAAAGTTGGCAAGTTTTATCTGTGTGATAGCAAACATCTGGATATAGGAATGTTCTCTGATACTCCATTGGAATTTTCTATTTTTATCCAGATGGTTGGCGTCACGTCTCCTTGGTTTGAATGCCTAGAGGACATCTCACCAGGAAACCAGAGGGCCGTCATGAATACGGTTCTCTCTCCCCGGTAAATCCCTGTAGGTGCCAGCAGGACACGCAAACAAGACATGGCAAGACAGAGAAACTAACCATACCCTTCAGGCGCCCAAGGACAGCGGTCTTGTCCCTCCACGTAGGTGCACAGGGACCACCTCTCAGCCACAGCAGATGCACAGTGAGCACCAGGAGTGGCAGCTTCATGCTGTTCCTGCCAAGGAACAACAAACCTGAATCTGATGCCTGCCATCAGGGTAGTGTCTGTTGGCATCCACTGAAAACACATGGTGACTCAAAGCATTTTTCTGTCAATTTTTCTTTATGGCTTTATACAATTCGGAGGCCTGAGACATAGGGAACCTGCAATATATATATATATATATATATATATATATATATATATATATATATATATATATATATATATATATGGCAGCCAGGTCTCCAGTTGGTTTACATCCTTTATGACAGTTAAATAAGGTCATCATAGGAAGTACATGAAATGTAAGGTAATGGATAGTATGGCTCACAGCCCTGTAGAATCCAAATTCCATTTTATTTCCCTGTCAACAGTGAACTCCCCCAAACCCAGAATTAGCTAAAATATACCCCTCCAATTTTGAACCTCAAGTGAGTTTTCAGCTAGATGGTTAAATACTTATTTTTTTTTTTACAACTTTATTATTATTTTTTTTTATGGAACAAAGCAGCCTCCCACAGTTTCTCCTAGTCATAAAACTCATCAATATATATATAAATCATTCACAGTTACATGTTTTCCTTCTTAGATAATAAATTTCCTTTTAGATTTAATTTCATATACATTAATTATAAACACTTAAAATGCAAATGGTTATAACTTTACAAAGGGAAGTTAACTGACTTAAAACAACTGTATGCTTTAATAAAGTTAAATCTATAAAACGTTAGATTACCTACCTTAACTCTTCCCAAACACACAAAAAACCTTCCATTATTTAGCCAATATTAGAAATGTTTTTTAACATAGTAATAAAATAACATCAGTACTAGTAGTTAAAAAGTTATCATATTTTACATACATCTATATCTATTATTTGAACTAACTCTTCTCTTTCTATATGATCCTATTTAGCAAATGAAACTTTTAAGTATATTTACCACTAACTTTGCAGTATCTCTCCAGTGAGGTTACCACCAACTCCTTTAAGGACCTTCACTTTTCATCCGTGTCAGGGATTTAGCCTTGTTCTATGAATTTGATGACACAGTCCCTAATCCTATTAACCTAACATTTTGAGATTAAGAATATGGTTTAAAATTTGGTAGGACTTAGAAAGAAACGCTAGAGGGCGCACTGTGCACATGATCAGGAACAATGTGTTACTTTATTTACACAAGTGCTTTGGTAGAACTCATTTAAGCCTTAAAAAAAGTATGTATATATATATATATATATATATTATCCCGGAAATTTATGATATGTATATTCCTAAATAGACAAATATATTTTATTGTAAACATAAACAATAATATGAAAGAGATTATGTAAACTCTTAGATAATACACTGAAGATTATTTATATAGTCGTTTGGCATTTTTGGATTAGATGCAAACACATTTTAACTAGATAAAGTCATAAAATTTAGCACATAAAAAAAGCAATAGATAAGTATTTCAGCCTCACTACAATTGGATAATTGATTAATTTAACTGATAATGTGACCTCTTAGTAATCCATTTAAAAACTATTTAGTTGTTAGTCACCATAGCCAGGTATAGAATCCACAGCGATGGGTCCCTCTGGCTACTGAAATAGGAAGATTGTCTTGGGCCCCTTTGGAGGCCCTGAGGGCTTAGCCAACCCTAGTGATTATGTGACCAGTACTTTCTAAGCGGGTTAGATGGACAGTTCTGAACACGTCTCAAGGTCCCTGAGAAGTTGGTCCTTGTGTTGGAGCGATCTGTAGTCTGGAGTTTTTGTCTGTTCCACCTGGGCACGGGGACGGGCAAGTACAGGACTCACTCAACGGCCAGCTCACACTCCCGTTCTGCTGTTTCAGTTGGAAACCTCTCACTGCTATTAGAAATGAGGTCAGCTCAAAGCAAAGCTGTTGAGTAACCTTATTGAGCAGCTACAATTCACATCTAGAAACAGAGGCATTTTGTCCTGAGAGATGACCTGGTGGCCAGTGGAGGAAGCAGCCCTGTAGGTATTCTTTTTAAAAATATATTTTATTGATTTTTTACAGAGAGGAAGAGAGAGGGATAGAGAGTTAGAAACATCGATCAGCTGCTTCTTGCACTGGGGATGTGCCCGAAACCAAGGTACATGCCCTTGACCGGAATCGAACCTGGGACCTTTCAGTCCGCAGGCCGACACTCTATCCACTAAGCCAAACCAGTTTTAGCCCTATATGCGTTCTTCTCAGGAAGAGAGAACACTGTTCTGAAAAAGCCGGTCACAGGAGATTACCCAGCACCACGCTGACCCCGGGGACTCTTTTCAGTAGTTCGCTGTTGACCAAGCGTGGGCCCACTTGAGGTCATTCATTGCTGACATCCGCACAATCTTTTGCAACAAGCCCAGGATTTGTTGAAAACGGAAACAGTCATTTTGGCAACTCAGCGGCTCGCCCTCTACTGGCAGGCAGACTCTTTCTGTAGCCCATGTCCCCCCTCTTCAAATGTAATTTCTGAGAACAGAACTTTATTGCTTACTGGTACTGATGACTTTTTAAAATATCTTGAAGCTTTTAAAAAGAAATAATTTCTTCCTCTAATTATTTCATCTGTTTTCACAGCTGTCATTTTTGTACTTAAGATTAAGCAATACTTCATACAAATCCAGTTACTTTCATAATTATGACATCATGACATTCAAGACGTAAGTGGATTATAAAATATTATAAATACCTAGTTGGTAACTAAGGAGACCTAGAAGCAAGGCCATCACAGTGAGAGGGGGAAAAAAAAAGGCAGCAGAGAGAGGCATGTGGTATCAGCTGAGAAATAGAAGAATCAGACAGAGGGACTCCGAAATGTCAGGCTAAGCTGCCAAGTTCAGCCTTGAGCAGAGTTTCGTAGGTGTGAGGCATAAAGGACTTGCCAATAAGTCACCTCCGACCAGATTTGCTTCCCCTCTCCCCCGCTTTGCTTTAGGCCCAGCCAGACAACCTCTGGGCTTCTCCTTGAGACCTTCCTTGGCAGTAAGAATGGGCTGAGCTGTTTGCCCACCCAACTTGCTGCAGGCCCTGATGGCTGGGCCACATATTTCTTTCTTTCACAATATTTGCTGAGGATCTGCTATGTGCCAGGCACTTACAAGACAGTAGACAGCTGCTTAGTCCTCGTCCTGACCTTTTCCCTTTTGCCCCGCCCTTAGATGGTTATATTCCCCAGGGTTTTGTTCTGGGGGACAATGCCAAGGTACCCTCTTTGGGTCATGTGACACGGCTGTCTCTCTGACCACATGGCCCACAGGGATTTCATTCAAAGTTCCAGTCCAGCCTTCTCTCCTCACGCTCATCCCGCCATGATCTCCCTGTCACCAGATCCAGACATTTGGGAATCATCCAATCCAACTCGAAAAAAGAGGGAACTCTATCACCCTAATTCATTCTGGGTGATGCGTGGGACAAGGAAATATTTCACTGTCATAAAAGCTATTTTGGTAGAGGTAAAAAGAAGGGGGAAAGCAGTTACCTGCTTTCATTTGGCTTAGAGAAAACAACGTTCTTTACTATATACTAAAATATCAGACACCACACCACGTAACTGCAAAACTTTAATACACTGTGCTTAGACACGATATTCAAAGACTGAACTTTCCCAGTACGTGCAAGTAACCTTCTGAAAGATGAACTATTTTTATAGCTGCTGTTGTGGAACGTGATACCATTCTTTTCCTCAGCGCCTGACGCTGGCGTTGGTACCTGCGAGAAAGTCTGGTGGAAGAAATGACATCTTAGCCGGCCGGGAATCAGGAGAGTAGCCCGATGCCCACCTTCAGAATTTACCACCAGGGGACGGCTGGTCCTCCCAGCCCTTCCTCGTTGGGATCTCCTGGAAGTCTCCCCTTCTGGACGCCAGCCCTTAATATGCCTCTTACTAGTACCCGGTCCCTGGGCTGTTATGCTGCGAGCTGGCGCATCTCCCCATCACTGCCTCCATGAGGAGCAGCTGTGCAGCGGGCGGAGCAGGGAGACGCCCAGCATGAGGAGGCCATCAGCGCTGCTTACCCTGTGCGGCCTGGCCTCTGGGGAACCGGGGCCCCTCTTCTCTGCTGGGACTCGATCACCTGTCGTGAAGGTAGCACCTTGGTTTTACCATAAACTTCTGTGGTGGGGGCGCTGGCTTTGGGCGCACAGGCCTAGCACCTCTTGGTCCAGAGGCCTCTTCCGTGCCCATTGCCAAGGCCTCCTGGGAAGTCCTCGGCCTCGTGGTTTCTTCTGGGGGGTTCCCCGGACCTGCGGCTGTGTCCCCTGGGCACCCCTGAGAGAACAGACTGTGGGAGCTGGAGAGCTCCCTCCTGCCTGCTGATGCTCGGTGCTGGGGGGGTGGGGTGGGTGGGAGAAGGGGGCCCTAGGTGGGTGGGGGGGACTAAGCAGCTGTCTACTGTCTCTGGCTTCATGGGGAGAGGCGTCCCAGCTGGAGCGCCCCCATCACCTCGTGACCAGAATGCACAAGTCCCTGTGTGAGTTGTTTTATTTATATATATATATAAATTTCATTTTTTGAGGGGAAAAAGAGAGAGGAAGGGAGAGGAAGAGAGAAACATCAATGCTGAGAGAGAATCATGGATAGGCTGCCTCCAGCCAAACCCACGCATGTGCCCTGATGGAGAATCCAACCGTGACCTCCTGGCTCTTAGGTCGCCGCTCACACCCGGGGCCCTGGGTGGGAGTGAGGGGCTGGGCTGAAGGAGGCGGTTTTGAGACGGATCTTATCTACAGAGCAGCCAGGAACCTGCATCCAGTCTCCGGCCAGGATCCCAGGCCTCGCCTTGCCCATGCCAGCTGCACCTGCTCTTGCCTCAGTGCACAGTCTGGTGGCCAGCCCGCCTCTCCTCTCACTCCTTCCCCTTCTGCCGGGCAGCCTTCAGCTTGGCGAGAGGCTAAGGTCGGTCTGCCGCAGCCTGGCACTGTTACAGTTATAATTGTGTGAAGTGTGTTTAACATTTAGCATTATATAATTCAATGCCTAGTATATTAACCTGTTCTGTG